GCATTGTCTTGGCTGTGTGCTTCCTGTTGGAAGGTGAACCTTCACCCCAGTCTGATGTCCTGAGCGCTCTGGAGCAGGTTTTTATCAAGGATCTCTCTGTACTTTGCTCCGTTCATTTAATCTTTCCCTCGATCCTGACTAGTCTCCCGGTCCCAGCCGCTGAAAACCATCCCCACAGCATGATGCTGCCACCACCATGCTTCACCGTAGGGATGGTGCCAGGTTTCCTCCAGACGTGACGCTTGGCATTCAGGCCAAAGAGTTTAATCTTGGTTTCATCAGACCAGAGAATCTTGTTTCTCATGGTCAGAGTCTTTTAGTTGCCTTTTGGCAAACTCCAAGCAGGCTGTCATGTGCCTTTTACTGAGGAGTGGCTTCCGTCTGGCCACCCTACCATAAAGGCCTGATTGGTGGAGTGCTGCAGAGATGGTTGTCCTTCTGGAACGTTCTCCCATCTCCAAAGAGGAACTCTGGAGCTCTGTCAGAGTCACCATCTGATTCTTGGTCACCTCCATGGCCAAGGCCCTTCTCCCCCGACTGCTCAGTTTGGCCGGGTGGCCAGCTCTAGGAAGAGTCTTGGTGGTTCCAAACTTCTTCCATTTAAGAATGATGGAGGCCACTTGGGGACTTTCAATGCTGCAGACATTTTTGGTTACCCTTCCCCAGATCTGTGCCTCAATACAATCCTGTCTCGGAGCTCTACAGACAATTCCTTCATCCTCATGGCTTGGTTTTTGCTCTGACATGCACTGTCAACTGTGGGACCTTTATATAGACAGGTGTGTGCCTTTCCAAATCATGTCCAATAAATTGAATTTACCACAGGTGAACTCCAATTAAGTTGTAGAAACGTCCCAAGGATGATCAATGGAAACAGGATGCAGCTGAGCAAAATGTAAGAGTCTCATAGCAAAGGGTCTGAATACTTATGTCAATAGGGTATTTCTGTTTTTTATTTTTAAGACATTTGCAAACATTTCTAAAAACCTGTTTTCGATTTGTCATTATGGGGTATTGTGTGTAGATTGAGGATAAAACATTAAAAATCAATTTTAGAATGTGGAAAAAGTGAAGGGGTCTGAATACTTTCCGAATGCACTGTACATGCATCTCATTAGCCCAACGTCACCTGTTCCAATTCCCCAGTTCCTGTCTGACTGGCTTCACACCTCACACACGTTTAGGTTAATGTTTATGTGAAGAGTTCAATATCTCATTCAGGTCCATTCTGAGTCTCTCTGTTTGAACACAGGGTTGGTCGTCACTGACCAATCAATCACACAGGGCTAAAACCAACATACCACAATTCTACCATTCCATAATGACTTACAGGAGAGCAAAGTCCTCATCTCCACCCCAAGGACCAAAGCCAGCCTATGGCTTGTTGTAATATAGTTGAATGGCCCCCTCGACAACAGGATTGTTGTGTTTTTAGATTTACATAGTGGATTAAGTATAGAGCAGCTTTCAGTGTTGCCTTGGCCGTATATGGAAAACTCAATGCGTCTCTATCCTCAGACTTTGTTAAATAGTTATGCCATTCGCATGATTTCAATACAGCTGGACTGCAAAATACTACCACATGCTATATAGATTTATTGACCAGTTCACTGAACTGAACATGGCCTTACACGTCAGTATATTTATAGTGCATTCGGAAAGTATTCATACCCCTTGACTTTTTCCACATTTTGTTACGTTACAGCCTTATTCTAAAATGGGTTAAATACATGTTTTCCCCTCATCAATCTAGACACAAAACCCCATAATGACAAAGTGAAAACAGGTTTTTAGATATTTTTGCAAATGTATTAAAAATAAAAAATAAACCTTATTTACATAACTATTCAGACCCTTTGCTATGAGACTCAAAATTGAGCTCCGGTGCATCCTGTTTCCATTGATCATCCTTGATGTTTCTACAACCTGATTGGAGTCCATCTGTGGTAAATTCAATTAATTGGACATGATTTGGAAAGGCACACACCTGTCTAAAAAAGGTCCCACGGTTGACGGTGCATGTCAGAGCAAAAACCAAGCCATGAGGTCCAAGGAACTGTCCGTAGAGCTCCGAGACAGGATGGTGTCGAGGCACAGATCTGGGGAGGGGTACCAAAAAATGTCTGCAGCATTGAAGGTCCCCAAGAACAAAGTGGCCTCCATCATTCTTAAATGGAAGAAGTTTGGAACCACCAAGACTCTTCCTAGAGCTGGCTGCCCGGCCAAACTGAGCAATCAGGGGAGAAGGGCCTTGGTCAGAGAGGTGACCAAGAACCCGATTTAGCACTCTGACAGAGCTCCAGAGTTCCTCTGTGGAGATGGGAGAGCCTTCCAGAAGGACAACCATCTCTGCAGCACTCCACCAATCAGGCCTTTATGGTAGTGGCCAGACGGAAGCCACTCCTCAGTAAAAGGCACATGACAGTGCGCTTGGAGTTTGCCAAAAGGCACCTAAAGGACTCTCAGACCATGAGAAACAAGATTCTCTGGTCTGATGAAACCAAGATTGATTTCTTTGGCCTAAATGTCAAGTGTCATGTCTGGAGGAAACCTGGCATCATCCCTATGGTGAAGCATGGTGGTGGCAGCATCATGCTGTGGGGATGTTTTTCAGCGGCAGGGACTGGGAGACTAGTCGAGGGAAAGATGAACGGAGCAAAGTACAGAGAGATCCTTGATGAAAACCTGCCCCAGAGCGCTCAGGACCTCAGAATGGGGCGAAGGTTCACCTTCAAACAGGACAACGACCCTAAGCACACAGCCACGACAACGCAGAAGTGGCTTCGGGACATGACTCTGAATGTCCTTGAGTGGCTCAGCCAGAGCCCGGACTTGAACCTGATCTATGGAGAGACCTGAAAATAGCTGTGCAGCGATGCTCCTGACAGAGCTTGAGAAGATATGCAGAGAAGAATGGAAGAAACTCCCCAAATACAGGTGTGCCAAGCTTGTAGCGTCATACCCAAGAAGACTCGAGGCTGTAATCGCTGCCAAAGGTGCTTCAACAAAGTACTGAGTTAAAGGGTCTGCATTCTTATGTAAATGTGATATTTCAGTTTATTTTTATTTTTTTTAACTGTTTTTGCTTTGTCATTATGGGGTATTGTGTGTAGATTGATGAGGAGAAAAAAACCCAATTTCATCTATTTTAGAATAAGGCTGTAAAGTAACAAAATGTGGAAAAAGTCAAGTGGTCTGAATTCCCACGGGGGGCCAGTATGAAATAATGTATGCACTCACTAACTGTAAGTCGCTCTGGATAAGAGCGTCTGCTAAATGACTAAAATGTAAAGGTAAAATGTAATACTTTCCGAATGCACTGTACATACCTGAAAAGTGCACGCCGACCAAAGGTATTTGAATGCATGCAAAATAGTCTAACCAGGTAAACGCCCCACTTTGCCAGTCTATTATCTTGCCTGTGTAACTACTGTGTAACCAATTTTGTAGTTACTAGCATGTGTAACCTAGCACATTGTTGCACGCACTAATTTGAGTCATCTCGTTAGTCAAGATGTGTTTCACCTGCGCAGGCCCACTTGGTATTTAAGACCTGCTGGCCCAGTGCATCAGTTGGAGAGGAGATGTTGGGAGAACTACACCTCACGTTAGCTCTTCCACCTTTGAGAGCTGAACAAAGCCTTCATCTGGCAGTTTTTCTTCATGTCCGTTGGTACTTCCTATCCTAAGTTGGTGTTTTTATTTTATTTTGTCTGTTCTCAATCAAGTCCAGGGGGCGTCCATGGTGGGTGTTTTTAAGACCCTACTCTAGTTGCTTGGTCAGCACCAAGTAGTCACACCCATGGATGCCTTTTAGAACCCATTCTAAAACCCCACCTGTTTTGTTGTGGTTGTCAGTGACTCATTTGTTCCCTTTTTCTGTGAACGACGACATTTTGAGTTTGTCTTTTGGGAAAATAACAGTAGGCTCTAGGGAGGTCAGTAATAGGAAGCCTCTAGCCATCAGTAGAACAGGATGGAGCAACCTTCTATCTGACTGATCTCAGATCTGTTGACTAGGACCTCTCCATTACCCCAATCACCATTATGCCCTCCCCTCCTCTGGGTGTTCCTCACAGGTCTCTGAGGGTCATGATAACTGTTTTTTCTCCTTCAGTCCCACGCTGTGGAGTAAACAGTGAACATGCTTCAATTAGGCTACAATTTGTCTCTTTCAAATACTCTATAATATTAACTCAATATTCAATCAGCAAATAAATGAGTAATAGTTCCTGTCATACTCTGCTTTGGGAAATGAATGTTGAGGACCACCGGTATAGTTTTCACTTCTGGAATATTTGGCATAGGATCTGCACTGGCAAGCTCTGTCATACCAGGTTGTCTTCTCACCCATCTTACAGCTCCTCTTACTAGTCAATAAGGTAGACTAGTAAGTGAATAAGATTCATTATAGGCTTTGTAAGAACACAGACCTTCAGCATGAGGGTCATCCACTGACATGCCCTGTGTTTGCCCCAGGGTCAAAGGCTTTCTGGCACGGAGCATGGAAAAATCTGCTTATCTGCTGTGTGTGACCACAAAGTGATAAGACTCATTGCTGATAATGATGTTCCTGATTGCAGTGATAGAGGGAGGAATCCCTCTGGTAAATACAATAGTTTTGCTCCTCTCAGCATGGGCATGGAATTATTGTCTCTGAGTCCTCACAGACTTCTGAGTTCTACTCACATTGCTATTAATATCACAGAAAAAAATATGTATCATATTATGTCACGTGTATATATGTGCATCATATTAGAAATGTTTTGAGCAAATTGGGTTTATATATAATTTCACCACCAGAGGGAGTATTCCACCCATGATTGTATCATGGAGAAGTCACTTTGAGTTTGTTATATAGAGACCCGTCATCTCCTTTGAAGTTTTGGAGTGGTGCTTGTTAGTGCTTCCATATGAGAACAAACAATAGGCCTATGTGCTGCATCTAACTGTTTATTGCTGTTAATGTAATTCTTCCTTCTGTCTTTCAAACCCTACAGGTGTACAAGGTGAACTCTGACGGCTATGACTCGTATGATCAACATTACGGACGAGGCCTTCTCAAGGACACCATCAAAGACGGTGAGCTCCTGAGACAATAATAACCCTGTCACAAAATAAACAACATTATATCCTTCTGTGTATTTCCACATGGTTTAGATTGTAGTTGCTAGCCAAACTTGCTCTCAATTAGGAAAACGCTTCGGGTATCATCTAAACAGATCAAATCATCACCATCGTTTCTTATCAGAAAACATTGTATTCCTCAACAACAACAATAATGACCTCTCCCATTCCTCTCCCAGGTTTATCAAAATTCTTCTGTAATGGGAAGAGTCTGAGAAAAGACGCCATCACTGCCAGTATCCTGAAGGTCCAGAACATCCTGAGATGGTTCGAGGGCCAGATCCAGTTAACCTTCTATGCCAGCTCCCTGTTGTTTGTATATGAGGGCCTGCCTCCTCCCAACCCCGAGGGCCACGTCCCCAGGGGCCTCCCAGAGAAGACCACATCTTCCGCTGACGCCTGCTGCGAGCCCAATGAGGACGTACTGGAATACAACAACAACATTTGTGCTGCCGTGCCGCTCGACTACAGCCTGTCCACCATGTACGCCATGCACAAGAAGGGCTGCACCCAGGGTCACCATGGCAACATAACTGCCACCAGCAACACCACGACAGACCCCAACCCCACCAACCCCAAGGAGCACAACAGCACGTGGAAGTGCCCAGGTCTGGTGTCGGCGGAGCAACCCAACGGCAACGGTATCAAAGCCCAACTGGAAGAAGAGGAACAGGGGGTGGTGGGGGAGGTAGGCCAGGGTGAGCCGCATCCAGAGCAGAGGGCCAGCGAAGTGGAGGTGAGGATGATTGACTTTGCTCACGTCTTCCCCAGCGAGAGCCAGGACCAAGGCTACATCTACGGCCTGAAACACTTGCTGGAGGTGCTGCAGCAGATCCTCCACCAATAACCTTCTCTCTCCAGTGGTTTGTCTCTCATTGGGGAAGTCAAGTGTACCCATCTGTGTTTTACTGTGTGAATGGAGGATTTGTAGCCCCCCCTCCCCCCAGTCCAGTCCCTCGTCCCCTCGCCCCGTGATTCACTGCACTATATGCACTATATCAATGAAGTCATTTCTCCATAACTCTTTGTCCGATGTATGTGCTTCTTGATTTCTAACCACTGTTAACAGGTATCTAACTCAGGTAAACTACTGTAATCAATACTCAAATGATTATCCCTAAAGAGTACCCTCGTTTTGTTGGCTTGCTGATCATATGTTTTATATTTTATATAATTTGCCTAAGTGTATATCTTCATGTTTTATTTCAGATCCTTTTGTCTTTAATTGTCCCAGAATGATTTGTATTTATCCATTTTAAGTTAAACTCAGTAGAGGTTACGTACTTTTAGCATTGCTGTTCTCTATCTAGCTATATATTTTGCTTCCAAATTGCCTTACCTGTTCTTCTTAAAACCTGTATCCTTGCAGTGATACTTGTTCATTATTGACTTTTAAGATTATATTAATCTCGGAAACCAAGAACTAAAATCTTGTTTAATTGTGTCAGATGCTCTATTAAATTCTCAGGGGAGATGTTAAGAGATACTAACACGACTTGTGAAGTCTCCACCCCCTCTAAACGGAAACACTCTGCAAGTCTATGGGCCAAATGTCCCCATCACTTCTGAAATTCGAAAGATCCGAGCACCTATGAAATCGTGATTTGTCCAAATGATTAGTGACACAAAATCAGCATACCAGAAAAAAGTTCCTCGTAAGTCATCACATCCCACAGTCTGTTGACAGATGCTACTACCATTTATGTTACGTGTGTTTTTCCAATGAGGGATTAAGATGATATATATGACAGATTTTCCTCCCTCTGCCCACTACACTGTGTCATGGTCTGTTTAATTGTAAAGAAATGCAATATGCTGCTGTGATGACAATGAATTAACAAACTGACCAGAGAGAGATTTTGAGTTTGTTGATCTAGTGATTCATGTTCAGAGGAATAGAATGCCAAAGTACTGGTCTTTTTTGGAGAGGGAGCAAGGTCTGGATAGAGTTCTAAACTTGAAGGCCTGGAAGTGGATTAGATCCTTGTTGTTGTCAGTACCCCGACAATGCTTCCGTAGTGTGATCTCTATCAAGATATTGTCAATTGTTTAAGTGAAGAGAAATGTTGTTTTCTTTTGCATCTTCTTAACCCTGATAGCTATAGAATGTTTGATTTATTATTTTAACAGAAGATATGCAGATATTTTCAAAGATATGCAGACAGTGCTACATTTCTATGTTTGATTTTAAACTAATACCAAAAGACAAAATATTTTGGATGATAATCTTATCAGTAAAATACTTGACGATTTAGTACATATTTTAAATGGTAAGGAGGAAGAACCTTTATGAGAGATGTTTACAGTCTTTTGAAGATATTTTGACTGTTATTATCGATGCCTTATTTCTTTCTACTCCATATATTAATTTCAAACGTTTATCATTCTGGCAGCTTTACATTTTTACATATACTCAAAATGTCTTCATTCTATTGTTCCAACAACTCCTTAGCAAGCGACCAGCTTCAGCATTTTGCAACAGGGCATTGTTTATTTTAGTAAAAGTCTCAAAATTGTAGATAAAGAAAGGGTGGTAATGATTTACGTTACAGTAACACCATCTTCATTAAGTACTCATAACCCATCTATAAGCACTTTCAACTTTTAAACATTTCATAACATTTTGTGTTTATAGATGTGCTATCAGTGGCCTATGCTTATGGAGGTACAGTAATGTCAGTCGTTACTGAATAAGGGACCTCTAAGATGGTTGTTTACTATTGACACCCTCTGCAGCTCCTTTGGAAGTTGTAATACATTAGAACCACAACGGGTAGATAGTACACTATATAAAGACTTTACATTTCATCTTGGTGAAGTCAAATAGCGACTTGTTCTACAATGAGTTGAAATCTCTTGTTTACACACCAGTTCTATTTTATGGGTAAATTGTGTCTTCATATAGTTAATGGGCAAGAAGTTAACAAAAATGGTTTTGTTTTGTGTTTGCTGAAGTCTGCTATTCTTTAAAAAACTAAACCAATAATGCACTGAAAAACAAATGAATATAGCTAATGTATAAAATCTGTCCCTTTGCTGTGAACTAACCAATGACTGTCCCTGTGTGGAAATGTTGTTTCATTTATCCACAAAGTTGTTTTATATAATACCTGACTGAAATGTCTAAGTTGGTGTATTGAAACACTCATATGGCATTTGGCAAGACTGGATTTTGTCTTTAGACTTGAGCTAATCAGAAGTGAGTTATCATTATTGTATATACAGGACAAACTCAATTTCTCTCAAATATTTTTTGCAACAAACTGTAGCTAAGTAGTCAGATGATTGATTTGGTTAGTGGGATCAACAATGTATTTTCCAGCTTGTTGTCATTATTGTTCTGGAACCTTATTTACATAGGCTGCATATAGACAGGCAGCCCAAATCTTATTTGTATTTACTAATTGGTCTTTTAACCAATCAGATCAGTCCTGAAAAATATCTGATGTGATTAGTCAAAAGACCAGTTAGTGGAAATAAAACTGAATTGGGCTGCCTGTCTAAACGCAGCCATAGTCTCAGGGTATGAGTGTAGAGGTGTAGTCAGTTCGCTTGAACGTTTGCTACGTTGCGGAACGGTTTGTTCTAAAGACACGTTTCTCCAAAACTTTTTTGTACGTTCTTGAAAAGACGGGTACGTTCGCTCCAGTTTGGTGGGTGTGGTGAGGTGTGGCTTGTACCAATGAGTGATGTGTTTAAAGGGCAGTGGACATGCTCACAGCATTTCACAACCTAACCCCTCCCCGTTTTTCAACTGGTCGTTCATTACAGCACTGTTTCTGTTCAATTGAACGTTCCAGAACTAGTTACTAAACGCAGCCCTGACATAGCATCAGTTTTGCCTACATTTTGCATAATTAATATGATTATATGGAGAGGTGGGACCTGAACCTAGATCAACACTCCTACTCTGAGACACTTTTGTAAATACGGACCCTGGGTTTCGTTGAACCTTGACTGGTCTTCCTGTGGTCTGGAATAATATGGAGTATAGTATCAGTGCTGTCAGAATGTTCTCTTTGGAAATTCCCCATCTGTTCTTCAGTTCTGACGTATACAGTAACATGAAATGCAGGGGAAATGATGATGTGTATCTGCGGTTTCTCTCTCATATCGGATTGCAATTGATGACCAATTACTACTTTTGTAAATGACATATATGAATATGTATAATAGGTAGACGGATTCAATAATGGCTGTATATTTGGCAGATTATAATTACTAATAAAATTCCTAATGAAAATTTGGTTCTTTTAACTTCTTTTTCTTGTAGTCTTTGAATCCATGTATTTTCTCCTCACTTCCATTTTCCTTAATGTGCAGACTGAATAAAGAATAACCTATAGATTACAGTATAATGTAAGTGCTGAAAAGGAGGGAATTGTTGACTAGAGCCTCAGGTTTTGCTTCTGTCTCTAGCTCAATGCCATTTTTATTTACTGCTATTACCTTGTCTCTATAGCTTCCATATAATACAATATAGCAATTCTCTGGTTTCAGCACCATAAAAAAAGACATGAAATGAAATTACATGAATGAACAGTATACAACAGAGAGCCATGAATGTGACAGAAGTAGCCTACCGCCTGAAGAGTAGGTGCTCCTGAAGGTTGAATAGTTATCTCGCAGCATGTTAAGGGTAAGAGGTGGCCATGTTTCCTCCAGACAGCCATGGTCTTTCCACTGGGGGGAAAGAGAATGGAGGGAGGATGAAAGGAGCAACAGAATCTGGGTCTTAGCCCTGACACATCGCTGGGAGGAGAGGAGTGACAGTGACCCACACTGCTTTACAGTGGGGAAAAAAAGTATTTAGTCAGCCACCAATTGTGCAAGTTCTCCCACTTAGAAAGATGAGAGAGGCCTGTAATTTTCATCATAGGTACACGTCAACTATGACAGACAAAATGAGAAAAAAAAAATCCAGAAAATCACATTGTAGGATTTTTTATGAATTTATTTGCAAATTATGGTGGAAAATAAGTATTTGGTCAATAACAAAAGTTTCTCAATACTTTATTATATACCCTTTGTTGGCAATGACACAGGTCAAACGTTTTCTGTAAGTCTTCACAAGGTTTTCACACACTGTTGCTGGTATTTTGGCCCATTCCTCCATGCAGATCTCCTCTAGAGCAGTAATGTTTTGGGGCTGTCGCTGGGCAACACGGAGTTTCAACTCCCTCCAAATATTTTCTATGGGGTTGAGATCTGGAGACTGGCTAGGCCACTCCAGGACCTTGAAATGCTGCTTACGAAGCCACTCCTTCGTTGCCCGGGCGGTGTGTTTGGGATCATTGTCATGCTGAAAGACCCAGCCACGTTTCATCTTCAATGCCCTTGCTGATGGAAGGAGGTTTTCACTCAAAATCTCACGATACATGGCCCCATTCATTCTTTCCTTTACACAGATCAGTCGTCCTGGTCCCTTTGCAGAAAAACAGCCCCAAAGCATGATGTTTCCACCCCCATGCTTCACAGTAGGTATGGTGTTCTTTGGATGTAACTCAGCATTCTTTGTCCTCCAAACACGACGAGTTGAGTTTTTACCAAAAAGTTCTATTTTGGTTTCATCTGACCATATGACATTCTCCCAATCCTCTTCTGGATCATCCAAATGCACTCTAGCAAACTTCAGACGGGCCTGGACATGTACTGGCTTAAGCAGGGGGACACGTCTGGCACTGCAGGATTTGAGTCACTGGCGGCGTAGTGTGTTACTGATGGTAGGCTTTGTTACTTTGGTCCCAGCTCTCTGCAGGTCATTCACTAGGTCCCCCGTGTGGTTCTGGGATTTTTGCTCACCGTTCTTGTGATCATTTTGACCCCACGGGGTGAGATCTTGCGTGG